GGAAAGCAGCCGACCGCGGGAGATCAGGTTCGGTCGTGAGAAGCAGCGAGCGGCAGCAAAAATTTCCGTAACGGGCTCTGCCGCGATCGTCCCAAACAATTGTTTAACTGCTTTTTAAATAGTAAAGCAGCTGTGAAGCGGTCCCAAACGAAGCCTTAATCTCCTCATATGAAACCTTCTATAATTGAATCAAGACGCTGCTTTCCAAAAATGAAACCTTCACACAATTGATCAGGGTGATTCATATATGCAACACCTGCAACTTTATTCTTCTAATTCACTATAGTTAAGGTTCAACAGATATGTATTCGCTCTGCACATTAGTTCCAAATCCTCTCAGCTGTGGCATGCCCGCCTAGGACATCCCAATCACCGGCTGCTTACTACGCTAGCTAACTACATTCCTGATTTTACTTCTTCGTCTTTTTCATTCATCTGTAAATTTTGTAATATGGCCAAGAGCCACAAGCTTTCTTTCAATAAAAGAATTTCGGTCAACACTTCCCCGTTCGAGCTTATTCACTCGAATGTTTGGGGACCCGCTCCGAATCAGTCTTTATATGGATTTCGTCACTATGTACTGTTTATAGATGATTTTACACGTTTTTCTTGGATTTTGTTTATGCATTCTAAGCAGGAAACGCTTACGAAATTCAAAATTCTATGCAATCTAATTCACACTCAATTTGCCATAACTCCTAAAATTTTTCAATCTGATGGTAGTGGTGAGTTCACTAGCAATGCTTTTACCTCATTTCTCCAAGAACATGGTATTCTTCATCAGAAAAGTTGTCCTCACACCCCTGAACAAAATGGGATCGCGGAACGCAAGCACGGGCACATTCTTGATTTAACTCGAACTCTCTTACACGCTTCAAATCTTCCAACTCAATTTTGGGCCGAAACCATATCCACTGCCATCTACCTCATCAACCGCCTTCCATCCAAATCCATAAACCTCAAATCACCCTATCAAGTTCTCTACAATAAGGTACCCAACTACTCGCACCTTCGCACTTTTGGATGCCTCTGTTATCCGTGGCTTCAACCCTACACCCACGACAAATTCACTCCTCGTTCTCATGACTGCGTTTTTCTGGGCTACTCTTCCAATCATAAAGGCTACAATTGTTACAACCTAGCCACCCACAAAACTCACATCTCATGAACACACTTTCCCTTTCAATTCTGATCCTAATTCCCCTCTTACTCACACCGATTCCACCCTGCATACCATCCCGCCCTCACTGCTTGTGCCTACTTCCGCAATCTCCAGTAACTCCAAATCGGCCACCTCTAGCTCTACCTTACATACCTCAAACCGTGACCCCCCACCTCTCATCCCTACTCCTTCAAACACAACAACCAGCATACCTGTTACCGCTCCTTCACTCCGTCCCACTCACTTAATGCGGACCAGATCGAAATCTGGTATCTCAAAGCCTAAACAAATATTTTCTCTTCTCAGCAATTCTACTCCCTCCACCACTCCGCTCAAATTTGAACACTGGCGCAATACAATGGCAGATGAGTTCAATGCTTTCCAGAAACAAGGGACTTGATCCCTTGTCCCGGTACCTCCTAACAAACGTATACTCAGCTGTAGTGGACTTTCAAAACAAAATTACTTCCTACAGGTTAAGTGGATCGCTACAAGGCTCGTCTCGTCGCACTGGGCTACGATCAAAGATTCGGAGAAAACTACACCGAAACGTTCAGTCCTGCCGCCAAAATGCCAACCATCCGCATTCTGTTCACTTTGGCTCTCAATCGGAAATGGACAATATTACAACTAGACGTCTCCAATGCTTTCCTACACGGTGACCTCCCCGATGACATCTATATGCACCAACCTACCGGATTTGTCGATCCCAATTCTCCAACCGCTATTTGCAAATTGCACAAATCACTTTATGGTCTCAAGCAAGCTCCTCGTCAGTGGTTTCAAAAGCTAACAGACTTTCTTCAATCTCGAGGATTCTGGTTTAGTCGCTCTAACCCCTCCCTACTAATCTTTACTCAGAATCAAATTCAACTCTATTTTCTAATATTTGTTGATGGCATTCTTGTCACATGAAATGATCAAAATTTCATTCAGACTCTTCTCAAGGATCTCCACTCTAACTTTGCTCTCAAGCAACTCGGACATATTTCACTCTTCCTTGGAATACAAGTTCAACAAACCTCCACTGGATACTTCCTCACACAAGAGCATTATGCTAGGAAACTCCTCTCAGAAGCTGGATTTACTGACTGTAAGGAGTCACCAACTCCTATTGTTCCTATCCCAAAGCATCGGCCCAACAACAATCAAGACTTCGATGATCCTTCTCTCTGTCGGCGCCTCCCTTCAATATTTGTCCATAACCCGCCCCAAAATAGCATTTGCAACCAACAGAGTTTGCCAACACATGCAGCACCCAACCGTCCAAGACTATCAAGCACTCAAAAGATTGTTTCGCTATGTCAAGGGCACTCTATAATTCGGACTTCCCATCACTGTTGGCGATTTACAACTTCAGACCTACACTGATGCTGGCTGGGCTTTGGACAACACTGACCGGAAATCCATTTCCGGCTTTTGTACTTCCCTAGTCCCAAACCTCATCTCTTGGTCAGTCAAGAAACAGATCACGGTCGCCAAATCCTCCACGGAAGCGGAATACCGATCCCTCTCTGCCGCCACATCTGACGTCATGACGTCATCTGGCAACGACGTCTTGCGGCCAAGCTTCAACTTGAACAACATTCTCCTACAACGATTTACTGTGACAACATTTCAGCTCTTGCAATAGCCAATAATCCCGTCTTCCATGCAAGGACGGAGCACATCGAAATCGACTACCAATTTATACACCAACACATCTCTTCCGGCAACATCATGGTCAAACACATACCCTCTAAAGATCAAGTTGCCGATATTTTAACAAAACTCTTCTAGGCTGCCCGATTCATCGAGTTACGATCCAAATTAAACATTCAGCTAATGAATGCTTAATTTGCGGGAGGCTATCAGCACGTCTCATTATAGCCTAAACTGTTCCTGTTCGTATTTACTTCTTTACCTATGTTGGTCTATATATTGTCTCCTGTACGCATTTCTGATAATAAGATTTATTTTCCATCTTTTCTCATTTACTCTGTATTCTCTCCTTCTCTCCCTCTCTGACTCTGCTCGAGGTTCGTCTCCTGGCGTTCTCACAGAATCATCTTTAACTTAAGAAAATCTGCCACAGTGACAATGAAGATTCTTCACCTTAGTTACTACTTGATATGATTTCTCTTGCTAGCCCTGCTTCATAAGAGTTCTCTTCTGCATAAATCTTCTCAAGCATACTTTCATCAACTGCCTGTTAATGAAAAGCAGTGTCGTAACTAGGTGAGATTATTCTGTTCAATCATGGGACACCATCTGAAAGCGAATCACGATCCGTCAGGTCATTTTTTTGCTTTGTATTGTGTTGTGGACCGGGAGATTAGCGCATTCTGATTCCTCTCGAACAGTCCGGTGACGACCGCATAGAATAATTTCTCCGTAACAGAGAATATGAAGAGGCAAAAGCATAGGATGATTGAACTAATAACATGTACTAATGAAGGCTTTGTTTAGAACAGTTTTTTTTATTGTTTTTTTTTAATGGAGTTTTAGTGAAAAATTAAATTTTTTAATTAAAATTAGAAGCAATAAAAAAGCTGTCCCAATTATACCTGTGGTTGCAATCTAACATTATTACAGTTTGCCGGATCTGCTATTTAACAGAAGTTAACAAGCTAAGAACTAATAAATATTTCATAGATCTCCACCTATAGGATCAACTTATATCTAGAAACATAGAACACGAGACATTAATAATGTTGAAGAATCAACTTGGAGAGAAGCGGTCCATGAGCAGGCACATGGTAGCCTCTGAAATACTCGCATAACTCCTCTGTCTCGTCCAATTCACGGCCGGCGCCGCCGTTGCCTCCTTCTTCGCCACCGAGCTTTCTTCTCCCACGAACTTCGCCGGAATGAAGTTCTTCCTCCATCCAAGCTTAACAAGCTCACTTCTCCAAATCTCCATGAGCCCAGCCATGATCTCTAGTTCTTGAGATCTCTCAAGAGGAATGAGTGTGGCTTAGTTTTGTGTTGGAGAGCTAAAACTAAAGCCAGCTTTGCTTTATAAATTATAATAGTAATCATAGAAAATGTAAGAGAGAGAGAGAGAGAATGAGAAATAGATATTTTGAAAAACAGGACAGTGGGGGGTCCTTCAATGAGCTAGAACTTGGATTTGGTTCACGAATATGCTTTCTTCAGGTAGGAGATATTTTTGATGGTGTTTTTATGTCCACAATCCATTGATGTTTGAAAGTTTTTTTTTTTTTTTTTTGAATTTTGACTTTGTTTTAATTTAGTTGGATGTCATGATTTTAATAAATATTACATGTAAAATTTCTTCTAGTTTATCTAAGACATTATTTGAATATTGTTTTCTAAAATAATTTTATCTAATAAATATTTTTTAAAAAATAATAAAATAATAATGATAAAAAGTTATCCAAATGAAGCCCGAATATTTTTTAGAAAATTTAACATATTTTTTTTTCATTTAATTTGCTTCTTATTGTTTTCAAGCGTGAATTTTCCTTTTTTTTTTAATTAAATTTCCCTTTATATAGTACATAACACCTTTTCTGTGTAAATATATAATATCTCCTCTGGTCTTTGTCAAGAAGAATATTCAGTATTGATTCTAAAATAAAGGATAATTTTGTAAATGAAGACCCAATCACCACTGAAGATTTTTAAAATATCTTTAAGCAGATATTTGGCTACCTGCTATGCTGCAAGTTCTATTTAAAGGACAAAAATCATCTAAATTATTTTTCCTTTTTTTTTTGTTGTAAATGCAGCAATCACACAGTAACTTATTTTCCAATTGATGAGTCCATCATAGTCATTCAACTTCCCTTCCAATAACTCTATTTTCATCATATTAAACTCAACAACAAGAAAAAAAAAAGAGTTCTTTATTTCCCCCCCAACAAATAAATATCAATTCAAATCCTGAACACGAAAATTCAATCTCCTGAGCCAAATAGAATGCAAAATCATATGAAACACATCAAATCTCTCAGGCGGACTATTCACCACAAAATGCTTCTGCACCATCTTCACCCTTCTCCACATCCTTATATACTGCCCCTTCGATATCCTCGCCAATATGTTCTTCAATTCAGGTATCTGATCAACCGAAATTTGAACCGAGAAAGACTTCCAATTCAACACATCACTGAAGGGAAGAACATAGTGATCTGATATAATAACCGGCACACATTCAAGATAGATTGCCTCCACTATTCTTGGACTTGCTACCTCATAGCCACTTGGGCAAATGCAGAACTTACTACTCTTCATCATCTTATAGTAGTCCACACCTTGCGGCAAATATTCATGGATCTGCATATCATTGTCATGTTTGTCCTTCCAGTGTTTGAGGAGGATTGGCCGGATCGGGCCGTGCATGCCGCCGGCGAAAAAGGCGAGAATTGAGCGGCGAGAGACCGGTATGCCTCCGATGAAGCCGGCGGTGACCCCGGTCTTAAGATTGATTTCTGGGAGGGAGACATCTTTGAGGGGTTTGAAGCCTTCTGAAGTGTTGGCATTGCAGAGGACTCTGATGGAGTTGGAGTAGAGGTAAGGGAGAGACTTGGAAGCATGTGGCCCCTGCAATCATTCATTCATTAAGATAATTATCACCAAAAATTACTGAAAATATCACATAAAATTCCTATTTTAGTCAATTCTAACATTCCGTTTAAACCCTCCGTAAAAAATTACTATCAGCGACTATCTTCCCCGTCAATGGCATCCTTTCATATTGAATACAAGTTTCTCATCATTTCAATTAGGCGGTAGAATAGAAGGAAAGGGAGTTTCTAGGTGGCATATTAGTAAATATAGAAGTTTAGCATGAAATAAATATTTACATAATTACCCAATCATGGCAAGAGAGCATGAAATGATCAGCTCCCAGGCTTCTATTCCAATAGGGATATCTTGAAGATATAACATTTATGTAATCCACAATAGTTCTTTTAATGGGAGTTATATCAAAAGTCTTTGGCTGGTAGATGAACTTCACCATTTTGACTACACTGAATGGAAGAAAATGAACGTGTGCTTGTTCAGGATTCCTGGTTCTAAATCTATTTCCCATCTCCATGTTATAAATGAACCTTCCTTCCATCGAATAGATACTTCTGCAGGGACCATCATGGAATAATGGCGGTTCTCCTTCTTCATAAACATAGACCTTAAAGAGCCTCTCCATTTCAAGATAGCTCCTGCAATGTTTCAGATCAAGAAAACTCAGAATAGTATGGAATGCTTTGATACAAGTTTGTTAAAGAACACATGAAATATTACTACAGAAATCGCTGTGAAAGAAGGAAGAAGAGACAGAAAAAAGACCTGTGAAATGCATAGGGGTTCCTGTAAACTGGGCCGATTGGGACATAATCTTTATCTTCTGCAGAAGTTTTATTTGGATTTTGTGCAGCAAATGTGATGGAAGCTCGAGCTTTTGCAAGGTTAAATTCAAGTCTTTCTAGATGAACATCTCTTCTCCTCGCTCTTACAGGTGGAGAAGAGTCTTCTAGTTGTATCAGCTCATTAGATGATACTGCCTGACAATTTTCAAAGAAACAAACATCAAATTGTAAATATAAGATTACTTTATAATAACAAGCTATAGTTGTATAGGATGATTTTAAGTAATTAAGGTTTCGTTTGTGATAGCTTTTAAAAAATTTTGTTCAAAGAAAACTATTTTCTATAATAATTTTAAAAGATTACTTAATCTATAAAAGCTTTACAATTAAGAAAGCCATCCTAAATTAAAGCTAAGGAGAGAGTGACGTACAGGTATGAAGACTGTGACAAAAAACACGATAGGAATTTGTCCTACGCTTGGCATTGATCTAACTAGATATGCTATTTAATGAATATTCCAAAAATAAAGCTTAAGATAAGTATTACCTCCGTTTCTACAATGGCATCAAGAAGAGCAAATAACTTAAGAAATCAGCAAACCTTAATAAGTCCTAACCTTCAAGGGCTATCTATTATGCTAAATTCTTTCGTTTTTTTTATCAATATTAAGGCGTCATTTGGGATGGCTTTCTTACCGTTTCTTAAAGCAATTTTTTAGTAAAAAAATTAAATTTTTATACTAGAAATTAGCTACTTTAAGAAACTATAAAAAAATCGTCCCAAATGAAGCCTAATTCTTATAATTTGCACTTGGGAATTGTCGTAAGAAAAGCTGCTAACACAGTGGCATTAACACCATTGGAATTCACTGATTTTCCTGCAGATTTTTTATGAAAATAATTCCATAGTCAAAGTAAGAGTCGGATATTTTCCACCGGAGATTTTACCGAAGTATTTATAGCATAATTCAAAACGGTTTTTGTCAATTCGCACCGACGGAATTTGGGTTAAGATTCCGCCGGAAATTCCCACATAAAATTTTGCTAGCAATCCTCCGATTATTCCAGCACAAAATTCTGCCAAAAAACCGGGGCATAGAATTTTCGAAAAAAAAAAACGACGGAAATTATAGCTCGGACAAAATAAATACATTTTTTTACGTTAATTACCTGACAATAACCGCTAGAATTTCATATTTTTCCTTCATTATAATGATTTTAAACCGTTTGAAAATTTTAATTATCAATTAAGCATCTAATTAGACTTCTAATTACTATTTACTGCCTTCTAATTTTTTTAATTACTATTCATTTTAACTAATAGAAACTCTTTTCCTCCAAAATTTTATAATTTATTTACATATTTGAGTGAGAAAGTATTTTAATAATTTATTAGTCTTTTTTAATTCCAAGTAGCATATTCCGAAAGCAAACACAAAATTCTCAAAAAAAAAAAAATCTATTTTAAATCTTCATAAATGTTATGTAATTATGTTGCCAATAACTATAATAATTGATATTAATCATTAAAGTAGTTTGTTAACTAATGAAAATATATATAGTACAAAGCAAATTCTAATTATTTATTAAATAAAGGTTAAGCAAATAGTTTTATCTCTACTCATTTGATTGTAAGAGATTAAATGGATATATTAAACAATATAGGAGGATAATTGAAAATATCTAATATTTTAATTTTATTATTGAATAATTTAATTAAATTCCTCTAATAGTTCAATTATATATTTAATAATTTATTCCTATAAAAAAATAATATAAACAATGTGAAATTAAATCAAATAAATCATTAATAAATAAAATAATTAGTTACCTAATTGGTGATTAGAATACCGTACTTCATTTAAGATTGTTGTCATTAATAATGATCAAATAAGTGACTATTATTAATTAGCATGTGTCCATTAATTATTAATGAGATATTTATTCACATACTAATTTATACAAATTATATATAGAAAGAATTCCGATCATAATATATGAGAAATTAATTAAAATTCATATTATACTAATCTCAAAATAAAAAAAATAATTAGGATATCTTAATTTTTTTAAGAACATATTAATGAACTTATGTTGACTAATTAAAATCTTAATAATTTATAATCTTCATCAATTTCATTATTAAAAGTAAAGCTCTTCATATTTACAGAACCAGCCCAAGATATGGTGAGCATTAATAACAGGTCCTGAATTATTAGATAATTTGGGAAATCCCTTAATTGCGATAGATCTGATCATTCATCAAAATTTTGGAATCTTTAAATAATACAATCTCTTAATTAAATGGCTGTTAGTGCTATTTAAGTATTGATTATTACATTTAATAATAAGAAGCAGCCCCATGATCCTTGTATATGTTCTGTAGGGAATAACATCAAGACCGTCGGATGCAGGCCATTACCATCCATCCAACGGCCCAAATAATTTGTTATAGAAGTTTTATAGGTAATAAAGAAGAAAAATATTGGATTTTGTCTTAAGATTAGTGAAATACAGCACTAATCTCAAAGCATCAATATATCTTAATTAAACAATTTTTGTTTCTAAATTAATTTACAGATGAATAATGAAAGAATAAGTAATTAATAAGGAATTTATTTTTAAACTAAATATATCTTAGAAATAAAAATATCATTAGAAATTGTTGTTAGATTTTAGTTCTTTAAAAATAAATTAGGATTATTTTAATCAGTTATCTATTCGTTGATAACAATGAGGAAAAAAATTGTATAAATCTCTCAAGTCTTAGCTAAATCTTGCAACCATCAGAATGAAAAGTAGCTTGAAATCAGAAGCATACCGGTTGTGGTGCCGGCGAGAAGGAGATATGGTCATCGGCTTCGATGGAAGAAGCAGAGGAAGAAATATTTGAAGCAAAGATCTCTTTTTGTGTGAGAGCAACACCATCTGCTTCGGCTTCTAAGGCGGCGGAGGCGGCGGTGGAGGCGGAGGAAAGCCAAGGAGGTGACCATGAGGATGAATATTGTTTGGAGTTGAGAGAGAAAGCGAGAAGAAGGACAAGGAGAAGTGGAAGAAGGATGAAGAATAAAAGAATATAAGGAGGATAAGAAGAAGAAGAAGAAGAGGTTCTCATGGTGGCGGAGGCCAAGGAATTGAAGAGGCGCCGGCGGTGTTTAATATGGAGAGTTGAGTTGAAAAGGCAACTTCTTTAGTTCTTTTCGTCGTGGCCGGCCATGGAGAGAGAGAAAGGGTCAGGTGTGAGCCGTGTGGCGATGGCAAGCGGCGGGCTTTTATACTTACCGTGCGCTCCTTTTATAAAATCCAAGAAAGAGAGAAAATAGTAAAATAAATATAAAATATGTATCAAGAAAGTAAAAGGAAATCAAAAGAATTTGGAAAGAAATAATTGATGATTTATATAATCACACCCTGAATTAAAATTATCAGTTAGCTGTAGACTTCCAACTTATTTGACCCGTCTCTCATTTTTTTTAAAGATAGTTATAAAATTATTTTTAGAAAAATAACTTTTTGGATAATTTATTTGGTGTTATATTTTTTTTCTTGAAAATGTAATAAAGTAGCTTTCTTATAGCTACTACATTCCTGTAGATCTTGTTATAAAAATACTTTTTCACTACAAATATTTTAGAAAAATATCAAGAAAGTAAGACTAGAAGGATAAAGTATTTAGGTTGAAAAGAAAATCATGAGAAAACTATCTTAAATAGAAGAAATTATTATGTGCGGAGACTTGATTGCAGAACGTCATCTGGAGACCAATCAAAATTGTCACGTTAGCAGTACCCAGCAACGGTACCGAACCGCAGTACCGAGCCATGGTACCGAGTAAAAAGGTGACGTGACGCATTCTGATTGGTCTCTGAATGAACACCTTTGTTTGTATAATTAATAATCTTGATGATAATGTTATGTCATATAATAAAAAATGATTAGAAAATAATTTAGCTTGGGAGAGATTCAAAGTGGTATTTTTTAATGGTGCATGGAGATTGTAAGGAAGCTATTGGAGATGATGTAGGGGCTATAGTATTAAAATGATAGCTTAGACTTCATTTAGGATGCTTTTTCTATTGTTTCTTAAAGTGATTTCTTGTTTAAAAAAATTAATTTGTTTTAAAAAACAGTAAAAAGTCGTCCCAAATAAAGCCTAAGGATTCGTTTGGGACAGCTTTTTTAATATTTTCGAAAGCAGCTTTCTAGCATAAAAATTTCCAAGTTCAAGAATTTTTTAACTAGAAAGCTACTTTAGAAGCAGTTAAAAAACCGTCCCAAATGAAGCATGGGACGGTTTTCTTAATACTTCTTAAAACAACTTTTTAGTATAAAAGTTAAAATTTTTGTATTCAAAAACTAGTTTAAGAAGTAGTAAAAAAGTTATCCCAAACAAAGCCTTAATCAAAAAAGGATGGATGATTTTTTTATAGTTTCCTGTGATCGGATTCTCTCAAAGTACTTTCACAGCCAAAAATGCTAAAGCTCTCTCTTGCCGGCTTGCTGCTGAGTAATCGTTCAACAGTTAATGCTAAAAAAAATAATATATTTAAATAAAGTTTAAAACTATTTATTTTTAAATAATTAAAAGAAGAAAAGAAGAATAAGAAAAAATACCGTTATCTTATTGTATGTATCTTTCGATAACTATTGTAAACTTATCTTTAACAGTCAGCAGACAACTTCTTTGACCGTTATGTTATTGTTTTATATTGACCAACTCCGCCCTAATTAAACCACTTAGCGCCCCTTAGAAAAATCATATAAAAGGCTATGGTATTTAAATTAATTTGTTATCATATTAGAGTTGAGTAAATTTTGAATTTGAATTAATTTTTTTAATTCTTGATCATTAATTTCTATCAAAAATACTTTAATTTAATTAATGAAACATTTGAATTACATAAAGTAAATTATCAAATTATATGAAGTTTTTCATGAATGTTCATGAACATAGATATACAAGCAAATTTGTATTCCAATTTGATCAATTAAGGGTTCATTTGAGACGGCAGTCTTACTGCTTCTGAAAGCAACATTAAGTACAAAAAATTATAATTTTTAGTTCCTCGAACTAGGGATTATAACATGAGTCTGTTATTGTAGAATTTTTACGTGTACATCTCTTATAGTTTGTTTGAGGTGCCCCTAAGAGAGGCGAGTGGCTATTTCTTTACGTTTAAGTTCGCAATGAGACAAGTACCTTCTTAGGTCAAAGTTTGCTAAGGCAAGTTTCTTCCTTAGTCAAATATGTCCGCAATGCGTACTTTCTTAATTGAGCTTCTCTAGGGTAAGCTTCACTAGATTGAATTGTCTGCCATCGTTGAATAATTTCAGTATGAGCTCCCCTCTAAATGGCGAATTATTACATCCGGTCACCGGACGTCCGAACATCCAATCTGGATGCGCCACGTCACCCAAATACACTGAGACCCAGTGTATTTTTGTGACGTGACATGTCTGGATTGGTATCCGGATGAATCCGAATCCGGACACCGAACGTAATAATTTGCCCCTCTAAATAGGCCATGTCTTGGATGAATACACCTCTTAGTTGAGCATCTTTGAGGCGAACTCGGCTGATCACACAATCTTTACCTGCATATTATAATTTAATTTAAAACAAGCTTTCTAACATATTTATTAAGAAATAAAATATTATACATATTTCTTTAATTTTGAGCGACTTTAGTGTAAAACATAGGCAGCTCCATTGCCTACGCAACACCTTCACTCCACTAAATAACCGAGCAGATTTAAATTGAATCAATAGTATTCATATGAAAACAAACCAGCAGAGATATCTTTATTGCATGTGACAGTAAAATATGAACAAAACATGCGTACAATATAGCCGTCTATGATGTTAATTATGGAAACAAACTAATGCATACTTTTACAGATTTTTTTAGGAACAAAACAACTGGCAAGCATAACACATCAGATCTAGAGCGGGCACAAAAATTTAACAGCCCTCCACACTTTTTATCCTGATATAAATTCTATTAAAATATGCTTACAAATTATTAAAAATATTCAAAATTAATAGTACATATAAAAACTTATATGATAGTAATTCTAAAATCAATTTAATAGATTTCAAATTCATCCTGAAATGATTTTTATCAACATATCCTAACATGTTTTTTTCATAAGAGCAGCAAAATAAAATATGATTATAATTATTTTAATCATTATCATTATTATTATTAAAATATACACATTTAAGCTTTATTTGGTACAACTTTTTAACTTTTCTTAAAGCATTTTTTCAGTACAAAAATTAAAATTATTATACTAGAAAGCTATTTTAAGAAGCAATAGGCTTCGTTTGAGACGGCTTTTTTACTCTTTATTAAATCAATTTTTAATAAAAAATTTAATTTTTTTTACTAGAAAAAAACTTTAAGAAACAATAAGAAAGTCATCCCAAAAGAAGCCTTAGGCTTCGTTTGGAACGGCTTTTCTCTTGCTTTCTAAAACAGCTTTTTAATACAAATTTCTTGAATTTGAATTTTTTGTACTAAAAAGCTGTTTTATAAAGCAGTATGAAAGTTGTACCAAACGAATCCTTAATCATAAATTCAGATATAAATCAGATATACACAAATCTCAAATGCTGGACCCAACCAAAGATGAGCGATGCTCAAGGCCAAAAATTAGCAAAATAGAATACAAACAATTGAATACAGACAAATCAATAGACACTTCTGAAGCATGCACAATAAACCCTAGCCCGCCATTGTAAATTCCTCTCCCTGCAACAATCTCTAACAATACTAAAAAACTTTTCCACAGCAACATAAAATCAAAATTGAAGTAACGGAAAGATTACAAACTTTAATACATGTTAAATCAAGAACTTGAATGAGAAATTTATTAAATGGTATCCTACAATCTCTGGTTTTCTAGATAAAGTCGCGCTTGAATTTCCTGTAAGTTGAATCTGTTGGAACAGCTGCAGTCATTAATAAATAATAAAAGAAGGCTAATTGGATGGTATCGTTGCCTCGAAATTCCGAGCATTATGTAGAAATTGACACTCGACCATCAGTAAGGGAGGGGAGCTTATTTAAACTCAGGTTCCAAATCAAGTTTTCTTTTTAAGTGAGACTTATCAACGCTGCAGCCAAGAAAAACATACAGGGAAATTTCCTCAGCTATAACATTAACCTTGAAAAAAAAAGGGAGATTTACATACATTAAATCTTATATTATTCTATTTACATATTTAACATTTGAAATTTTAATATTACATACATACCACACATAGTTCATTTTTATATCAAATATGAGTGGTAGGAAAAAAATATATGGGGTGTCAATTTCGGCTCACGGGTCAGGTTTGGGTCAAACCCGAAACTGACTAGGCACTATTCGGGTGAACCCAAACCCGACCTGTTTCTGCAAACGAGTCGGCTTTCCGAACCCGAATCCGACTCGCTTCGGGTCCGGGTAAATATCAGGAGCCAAGCTATGAAAAGAAACATCCTGGAAGACACCTACAAATGTATCTAAATACTTGGAGCATTTTAAATATTTATTTGGGTCGATATTGCGCTGCATGCCGAGATCCCCAAATAAATATTTAAAATTTTACCAAGATACAACTAGCTGATGGAAGCATGTTGAGCATATATACAAAAAGACTATAAAATAAAGTGATCGTGGTGATTAAAGAGAACAAATGATGATGATGTTATCCACTAGTGTCAATCTATAGAGTGATGCTCTAGAGACCTGAGTACAAAGTATTATATCGCCACCCCGTGGATCTCTACTTGACCAAGAGCGAATATATCAACTATACTGAAGATTATAAATGCATAAAAAGATCCATGAAGGCACAGAGATGGACTCTTGGAGATCTATAGAATGAAAATATTAGTGTGACATCCAAGCAATTTTTTTTTGAAATTTACAAAATGAAAATCATAGTGTGACATCTAAGTAGACACTTGGAGATCCACTAAATGAAAATCTTAATGTGACATCCAAGAAAACTTTTGGAGATCCACTAAATGAAGGCCTTTGTGTAACATCTAGAGCAAATACCTAGAGATCCATGGAGTCAATCAGCACACAACAAACATGGTTCGCTCTAAATGCGTACCACATTTGTTGGGGGCATTTGTTGACCTACATAGCGGAATACACATAAACAAAAAAAAAATTGCTACAACAAATGATACCTCTGCTCCATCGAATCCCCAAATCCTGCCGAACTCAAAAGAAAATCTCGTAACTTCGTACATGTTAGGCACCGTTTGTGTCTCCTCTCCGCAAATCCTACTCAAAATCTGCGATCTCACCTCGATCATGCTCCGTCTTCGCGTCTATAAAACGAAGAGGGAGAGACTTCTCTTTGGCACTTCTTCCACACTCGATCCTTCCAACCTCGTCGCTGCTACCCGAAGCCATTTACAAATAAAAAAAATGTGTCTTTGCCGTCGTCACCAACCCTCGCGCAGGTATGACTTCCTAAACTTTTAGAACCCGTTCTCGGCGCTTGCAACACGGCGAACAACCACCTATGCACGCTTTTCTCTAGCGTGGTAGAAGGGAATTCGTTGTGATGTTTACGACAGGGCGGGGAATCACAAAACCCCATTTTTTACGTTAGCAGTGCACCGGAAAACCAACTCACGCATGCTTTTCTCTAGCATGGTGGGAAGGGAACCCGATGCGACGCCTACTCCGAGGCGGGGTCAATTATTAAATTACTTGTTTTAAAATGGTGCCCAAAAACCCATGCACGCCTTTCTCTGGCGTGGTGGGGAACAAAAATTTTACGGTCGCGATGTCCTCGTATGAGGGCACCTACCGTGCACGCTTTTCTTTAGCGTGGCGGGAGGCTCAGTTTTCCGTAGTTTTCAACTAAACGGGAGAGGCGCCGGGAGGCTGCCGAAATTTCAGGTAAATATGAGACCGGACTTGAACAAAACTTTGGACGCGAAGGACATTGACATTGAATTTGAACCCGAATATGCAATGAATTCAAACGAATTAAATCCAAACTTGAACAAGATGCATTAAGAACTTGTAATTCAATATGATGACAAAGACTTGTGAACTTGGATTTTAACCCGAATATGCAATGAATTCAAACGAATTAAATCCAAACTTGAACAAGATGCATTAAGAACTTGTAATTCAATATGATGACAAAGACTTGTGAACTTGGATTTGCACACCGAACTATACTTAAACTCTACAAGATAGCAGGGGACTTGGACTCGAATGAGTTGAACAATGAACTTGATTTGAACTGGCACATTGGACTAAAAACAAAGCTTAAATTCAATAGAACTAAATCCAAAGGGGATTTGAGTTGAACTTGAGATTGACTGGAGCACTAGTCAAGCATGATTGATGGTTAAATAGACACGCGACATATGCACTCTATTCACAAGCAAAAGACTAATCGGAAAATGCAACACATCTAGCAGCCGAGTCAACCTGTGAAGGAGAGAAAGTGACATCTATGTCAATCATGCAATCAAATATCACCAAAAGAAATTCAGCATGTAGTTTCAATACAAGCAAATATCAATAAGAGACATGAATGGAGTGAATGCGACGATATTCTATGATCAATGTCAAGACACAAGCAAATGCAATCAAACCTAGCAACGACAAACAACAAGCATGAAGAAATGGATGAAAGCAACTGAGTTACCATACATTCGATGCCGATATACAAACACATATATTAAATTATGCAAGCAATAAAGGTTGACATCAACTCGCCAACAGAAGAAGTTAGAGGGGGTTGTGACGAAATACAGGTCATCCATAGCTCATGTCAACCAGTTACAAGTGTCCCCTGCAAGTGAAGGAAGTCATGGTGAAAATAACTTGCTCGCAACCAACAATAGTTAACCGACATGTGAATGCACTTGTCCGCTTATAAGCGACGACAACAAATATAGTAACCTGTGTGACAGTCATGCAAAGAGATACAATAACTCCTACTATATCCACTTGCAAGTACAAGCAGAAGCATAGTGAACATATCAACCAACTCATGGGTGATGACGGTGACTAAGATGGGAAAGCAACGATCTTTTTGCAACCTACATTGGGCATCTAGAAGATATAAGTGACACAGATGCCACAAGAATTTGAAGATATGCAAGCACCAAAAGAGCTCAATACAAACGAGTCCTCTACGAATACAGATATATGTGTAACATCCAACAATGAGCAAATGCAGAAAGATTTCAGTAAATACAGTATCTTGTAGTCGACTTCAGTCAACGAATGAATACATCTACCTGCAGCAGTAGTGGAAGCATTGTAAGGACCAAAATTATAGTAAAATGCGTAAAGAATGCAATGAATACAAAGCTTCTATGAATCGCCAAAAGAGACCCGTTATGCTTTCAACTTGCTATCTACGAGCAAAGGCGAATGACATGCAATGAATGCGGGCCTTTACAACCAAAGGCTGGATATTCGTTAGTGCACTACAATCTACCTGTAGAAATCATGTAAGTAGTGCATGACAATCTACCTGTACAATGCAGCAAATAATTGAATCCATAAGCTGCTACACCATGCCACCGGATCCGCAACATTTATACAAGCAGACATAAGGCATTTATAAATATAGCAAAATACCCCTGCACATGCACCGTAGTTTGTATACACGTAGGTACACAAGAAGTAAATGCAATCACAAACCCGCATGGGCCCCGACGAGCATGTCTTGAATATATACGTGACGCCTAGGGATGCTACGCGGGTCAAAAAATTTAAATATGATCATCCTAAGAAGGTAGAAAGGAGTCGATGGGTTTAATTATATAATGCCCCCGAACACTCGCATGGGCCCCGGCGAGCGTGTTATTGGTACACACGTGACGTCTAGGGATATTACGAGAGTCAATAAGTGAATTCGAGTTCGAACCCGATCCTGCTATGCGGATTAATAGGAGCCGACAGAGTTCGAATCATCAAACAAATATACTGTTGTGGTGAACAATATATTTGTTTTAATACATTTATATTAGGCTTTCAAAGCCTATAATTAAGAGAACTCATGCGGTCACGAAATCGACCGAAATATTTATTTTATACATTCATATTAGACCTTCAATAATGAAAATTCACACACAAAAACACAAAGTCTACGAGAAACTCGATCCTCGGTCAACAGCTTGGTCGAGTTGACAGGGTTCAATCAACAAAAGAGAAATAACACAAATACCCCGATAATTGCCGTGTTGAATGAAAATCTCAACCAGAGGGGTCCTTTCCAAATAATTTCAAATGTCATCCAAATGCTCAAAGTCCAAATTTCCAAAATCATTTGAAATCCAGAAATCAAATATATTTAAAATTGAAATAAATCCATCAACACTTAAAGCAAAATCCATCCACCCTCCGAAACAGTTTGTCGAGGTGGACAAGTCTGAAATTTACTACAGCTCATATAGAGCTAATGCCTAGTCGAAAATATCACTAAGATCCATTCTCAAATAATCTCTTATCAGTAAGGACGTGATACGTGTCCTCTAACCAGCGGTTTTACCGCTAAATGACACCGCAGGATAAACAGTTATGACCCGGGCCCCTCTGAATCGAGTGGCTTTGCCGCCAAATGGCACCACGAAATACAAGTTATGGCCAAAGCCAATACGCTCCTTAATGACATCAAATCCTTGAGATATAAATCAATATAATATGATCGATAGGGCACGAAACCCTTTGTTAGCTAAGGTGGATTCAAATTTGTCCCCTTAGACAAACACTCACCCCAGGTCTACAAGGTACCCTTGGACGAAGCAACCCATGGCTGCTGACAATGATCCTTCTGTTAGGTTGGGTCGACCTACCTCCTCTGACTAAGTAGACCAGGGACCACGATGGCCCGGGACAACGGAACCATGGGATCTTAATCGGGTTCATCATCCATTCCCCCACCATCTGCTTTAAGTGCAAGATGGTGAAATTTCTATTTTGAAATATTAAATCTTTCAACCTTTCAAACTTCCAAACCTTAAATTTCCAAATACCTATGCTCATGCTGCTATTATACACCTGATATTACGTATCTATGGATACAACGTATCTGATCGAAGACTAGCCTTAATCGAAAGTTCTCTCTCGTGATCGAGAGGGGTAATTAACTATAGGGGCTTGCGCCTATAGGAAACCAAAACTCAGATCATAAAGTCCTCGCAAAATGAGGGCGAAATCTCTGTGTAGTGTCTTATCTACAAACCCATCTGCCTTCCCAAAATTTACTCTGCAACTTATTCCGTTAAAACTCCCCCGAATAAAAAAAAAGCAACAGCAGTGGGCGAAGGCCGGGGCCGAATTTTCGGAGCCCACAGTAATATTAAAGCTTTTGGTGTTAGATATGTAAATAGGATGTTATAAAGTGGTATGTATGTAAATTTCCCAAAAAAAAAGTATATTAAAACAAATTAATTCCCAAAGATATGCAATAAAAAAGGGGCAAACCTGTTGAGTTTTGGTCTTGGAGCTGATGTATAACCAAACACAGCTTCCAAATCTATTGACATTGGCATAAGTCCACTCAGACCAGACTCGCCTACTCCTCTTGGTGCCTTGTCATTCACATCACCTCTCACAGTGTTATTATGTGTATCCCCTTCGAAACCAACATGGTTAACTGTCACCCTTCTCAGCTTTCTAGGAGGAGAAAGCACAACTGGACCACATTCTAAATTCAAGTCCAGAGGTTTTTCATTCAGAGATTCGCCTTTTGGAGGGGGTCTTGGAAGTAAAGCTGGTTTAGTTGGTGCTGGTATAGATGTGAAGTATCTGATCCAGAGAAACTAAGATCCGTTGTGATAAAAGCAAAATTTATTTCAATTATAAGAAGGATTAACAGAACCAGCAATAGAAAGACATAAAGCGATACCTGTGTTCTAGCGCCTGCTGAGTAGATATCCTTGCTTTCGGATCATAAGTGAACATTTTTGATATTAGATCTAAAGCATCATCGCTAGCCATGGGAAACAGTGACCGTAGTGAAGGTGGGGAAACATATTGGTATTCAACATAATCTGGAAGGTAAACCATTTCAGGCCACTGGAATGGCTTCGGAGTTCCAAAAGCTGCAAATATTTTACCTAGCTGGTCAATATCACTTGAACCCTGTCAACCATATTTGAAATACATTAGAATGTATGCACAGAGTAGTAGGAGATTTTGCAAGGCGTTGAATGCATAGTTAGAGACAAGTATCAGTTGAAAGGTGAGGCACACAAATGACATGGAGAACATAACACATATTTCATCAAGCACTATTATGTATAATGCTTATGAATGAATGATCTATTGGAGAATTGAGAAAGAATAGAGAAAGAAGAGGGAAAATGTAAGGAGAAGATATACAACGAATTCTCAAGATATTGAATCCTCAAAGCATCTAAATTACATTACAGCCTGTGTTGACTCCTCAAACCACAAGAAGGGGAGGCCAAAAATTTCATGGCTGTCGCCTAGAAATTTTGATGATTCAAAATCTAAAATCAATTTAACCCAAAGAAAACTTTAATTATAAGGCTCCTTAAGGCTTAAGAGAAAAAAGTACAAAAATGTTCTTGACTAACAAATAAATGGCATACACAAAACTACTACCAGAAATACCAATAGCAAATTAACTTGTAACAAACAAACGCATGCCAAAAGGACAGCTCCTAGGTGACATAAAATGCAAATAACATAGCTTTGACAACTTTTGCTTCTTGACAGCAGTATCAGCTGATCAATAGAAATCCACAGCCTTGATGGACTTCATCAATTAACATTTATAAAAAAATTAGAAAGCTATAGAAAAGAGAGAGAGAGAGAGAAAATAACTACTGTCTGGTTGATATATATTACCTTCAATGTGTGCCACTATCTCCACAGGCTCACTTTGCCAACACCGAGATAAAGATCAGTAAAACATGAGGGATGTAAGAGGAAAAAAGTAAACTACTTAGATTCATTTTTCCTTGCTCTGATTTTCGTCGCATAAAGCTATTATAGTCATAGATGAAATCTGCTTTGATTTTCTAGTTATAGATGAAAATGTGAAATCTTTTTTTTGACATTTGCTATGATTATTAGGTTGGGAAAGCATTAACTTGTTTCTAAGAAGTTCTATCATTTTCAATTTATTTTGTTTGCCTCTGCAGTCAGTTCTTTGTTTTTAGCGTAGTATTCATAAATTTTATTTGCTTGATTCATGAATACACCACCAAATCAACAGGAATTACAAGCAGATTGATTTTTCTATGATTTTAAGGCCAGCTTATACACTTTCTTAAGGCAATATTTTGTCTCTGCTTTAATTGAGCTTGGTGAATGCAAAATGGACTATTTTTTTTTAAATAATTTTAAAACTGTCAATGCCAGTTCCAATCATGCATGAAAAAAGTTTAGAGAAATATTTTAAAATAAAATTTTGGGCCCCCTCCAAAAAAAATTTATGACTCCTCCACTGGGCTCACCCACGCCACTAGAAGAGCTTAGCTCCACAATGCAACCTACATGATAATGATTACAAAGGATCATAATGACAAATGGCTACATGAGTTATCATGGTAAGATGATGTACTTCATTAACAGCGTTCAATTTATCATTTCTTTTCATTTGTCATTTCTTTTAATTAGCTATAGCACAACTACAACTCATCAATTATATATGCAATGCATTACATCCTAAATTATGTATTTATATAATCATGCACACATATTGACATAATACTTTTATATGTTATTTACAATTGGGATCGAAAGTTAGACTTATTACTAACTTATAAACACAACTCTCTCCTAGACTCTGTAATAATTCCATCAGATCCAATTCTCTCTTCACTCATAGAAGCCCTTAATTCCACTACATATAAGAAATTGCTGAATTGTAATGCTTAGCCGCTAGCAGATTTCCTCTTTCCCTAATATAGCTTCTCTCACCCGATTTCACATAAAAGCCTCTGCTTCACTATGCCGATTTCCTCCCTGCACTATGCCGATCTCCTCCTTGCCCTATGCCGATCCAGAACATATGCTCTCACCCTATTCCAATTTCCCTCTCCTACTGCCATTCTTTTCTTCACATAGCCAAACCCTCCCCTTCTTATCCTCTAGCAAGCATGAAACCCAGAGGAAAAAAAAAGGAAGAGGGCCCACACCTATAAATGAATTTCCAACAATCACATCTATTGCAAGCACCAATCCGGAAAAATTAAAGTTATTTAATTTTATTTTATATTAAGTAATATTACTTCTAATATTTACATAAAGTAACCGCTAATGTTAAATATAATTCACTTAGAAAAACTTATTTTTTCTTTACTTGCATTTTAGATATTACAATTTTTCTCTCCTTATTAAAATTTCATCCCTGAAATTCAACTTTTCATATTTCCTCAAATAGGTGAGAAAATATTTATCTCATGTCTACCTCTTTTTTCCACGTAGTATGTTTTACTAACCTATGCTTCCATTTAATTTTCACATAAAAATTATTCTGTTTCTCAATTTATGAATATCCCTTTCGAATTTCTTTTCAAGATCTTCAACATAGGTCAAAGCATTTTGAAGCACAATTTCATTTTATGGGACATTGATTTTCATCTCTAACTCATTTTTTGAGCATTGGCAGGTGAAAAATATTATGCACATTAGACATGACTGTAGTTAGTGCTAGTTTGTAAGCAACTTGTCTCACTCTCTCAATAATTTCAAATGGATTAATATATCTAGGATCCAATTTTCTACCTTGGCCAAATCTAAAAACACCCTTCATTGGTCTAACCTTTAAGAAAACAAAATCACCGAATTCTAATTCTATCATTTTATACTTTGAATCATAGTTTTTTGTTGTCGATCCTGAACTGCTTTTAATGTCTCTAATTAATCTTACTTTTTCAGTGACTTGATCAACTAATTGCAGATCCAATAGCTATCTCTCTCCAATTTCAAACCAACTTAAAGAAGTTTTGCATTTCTATCATCCAATGCCTCATATGTTGTCATCTTGAAACTCGACTAGTAACAATTATTATATGTATTTCCCAAAAAAAACAATTATTATATTTGAACTCTATTAATGTAACATGATCTTTTTAGCTACCTCCAAAATCCAGCATTCATAATCTCAGCAAATCTTCTAACACTAGAATAAGTCTTTCTGATTTACTATCTATCTGCGGATGAAATGAGGTACTGAATTGTAATTTTGTGCCCAAACTTTCATGAATACTCTTCCACAATTTGGATGTAAAATGCACATCTCTGTCTGACAAAATGACCTCAGGAATTTCATGCAATCTAATGATTTCCTTCAAAAACAACATAACTAATTTCTCCACCGAATCGGTCTAATGAATGGGTAGAAAATGTGCTGATTTTGTTAATCTGTTAATCACAACCCATATGTAGTCGTGCCCTTGCTTGATCTGAGAAATCCTGAAACAAAATCCATCGCTATATCTTGCCACTTCCATTCTGGTATTGGTAAGGATTGCAACATATCACTTGGTTTCTGGTGTTCAGCTTAACTACCTGGCATTTCTCACATTTTGCAACATATTCTGCTACTTCTCTCTTCATTATAGGCCACCAAAATAATGTCTTTAAAATTTTATACATCTTTGTGCTTTTTGGATGGATTTAATAATCTGAGTTGTGAGCTTCATATAAAATCTCCTGAACAATGTTTGATTCCTTTGGTATCCACAAATGCATATTACTCCTGATTCTTCCATGTTCATTCACAATGAGATCCTTTCTTTTTCTTGATTACCATTGTTCAATAAACTTCTGACATTCCACACTGGTCTTTTGAGCTTCACTAATTCTTTCTTCTAAATAAGGATAAATAATCATCTGATTTAAGTAGCCTGAATCACGATCACTTTGAGTTATAAACTCAAGCAGTAATACTTCCATATCTTTAATCAATCCTTCTTCTTGAGTTAAAATTGAATTTATTTATCCACTGAATTTTCTGCTTAAAGCATCAACCACCACCATATTAGCCATGTCTGGCCGATACTAAATGTCAAGATCATAATCTTTTATCAATTTCAGTAATCTTCTCTATCTCAAATTCAATTCCTTCTGAGTGAAAATGTATTTTAAACTTTTATGATCTGTGAATATTTCACACCTTACACCATATAACTAATGTCTCCAATTTTTTTAATGCAAACACAATTGCAACCAATTCTAAGTCATGAGTTGGATAATTCTTTTCGTGAGATACAATTGTCTTGAAGCATATGTAATCACTATTTTATTATGCATCAACACACAACCCAATCCCTTTAGAGAAGCATCACTGAATAATTGAAATATCTCAATTCCAGATGAAATTGTTAATATTGGTGCAGATGTCAAACACCTTTTTTATTCCCAAAAACTCTGCTCACATTCCCCAGTCCATTCAAATTTTGTCCCTTTCTGAGTCAGCTTGGATAAATATAAAGCAATTTGAGAAAAAATATTTTACAAAACTTTTATAATAACTGCTAATCCCAAGAGGCTCCAAAATGTAGTCACATTAGTTGGTCTTGGCCATTCCATAACTGTTTTATCTTTTCAGGATCTACAGATATATCTTCTCCACTAACAATGTGTCCCAAGAATAAAATTTTCTTCAGTCAAAACTCACATTTAAAATATTTAACAAATAAATGATGTTGCCTTAATAATCCCAAAATAATTTTCAAGTGATCTGCATGCTCTTCATCATTCTTGGAATAAATCAAAATATCATCATTAAAAATAATTACAAATTGATCAAGATAAGGACCGAAAATTCTATTTATAATATCCATAAATATTGTTGGGCATTGGTTAATCCAAATAGCATAACCAAAAATTCATAGGGCCATACCTGGTACAAAAACTTGTATACTCAATATCATATTCTTTCACTCTAATATGATAGTAACTTAATTGCAAATCAATTCTGGAGAATACAGAAACACATGCTAACTGATCAACTAGATCATCTATTCTCAAGAGAGGGTATTTATTTTTAATGGTCACATTATTTAACTCTTTGTAATCAAAACATATAACATTGAACAATTCTTCTTAACAAATAACACTGGTACACTCCAAGGAGATGTATTGTGCTTGATAAAGTATTTTTC